AATCACATTTCAAGATCAGGTGTAACGTAACACGAACAGGAAATTTCAAAACAAACGTTCGTTTTATCAAAAATCGCTTATTTCTCGAAAAATTGCATAGTAAACCATCTACTGTGCATTAACAAAAAGTTTTCCTTGAGCGATTTTACTACTAAAGCTCCCCTAACCCTAACCTTAGCATAGGCCCTAACCCTAACCTAAACGAACTTTAAGAATTTTTCGGTGCGTTACACATGATCACGTGCCGGTGAAAATTTTGGAATTTTGGTGGCGATCTAGGGGAAGATTCAAAAGTATGGGCCCACGCTATGGTGTGGTGCATTCAATTCGTTACACATGACATTGTTAGTGAGACTGCCATGAGGTGAAACGGGTCGGGATTGTCACCACTCAGATACAACCACGCGAGAGATTTGGCAAGGCAAGACGTATTGGTTTGTTACAGGGGTACGAAAAGATGTACGAAAAGATATACGAAAAGATATACGAAAACGAAGGACTTTAGGAGCAAAAAGGAAGTATCGAATTTATTTACAACGGATTCGAATTTTTATTATTTGAACTCAAACTTTGTTATTGTTACGGTTTAAGAGAAATTCAACTCTAACAAGATTTGGAAGATACATGAAAAAAAGAACAAAAGAATTCACTCAACCCACGCCATAATTACTGATTCTAACGCGATTACACCCATCCATCTTTTTCCCCACTAAAATGTCAGCGACATATTTACACGGCCACACGATTTACCCGATTTATCTTTACAATTATTTGTTTACATCCTACAACAAATATCACGTCATTGCACTTTTCAGCTTTGCTTGGTATTTTGTTTTTGTCAAGATTTACACCTAATCTTCCATTCTTCTTTACCATGGTCTTGGGGCAATCCCGATAAGGGATCCGATTAACTCACCGACAATCACTTCGTAGATACAACATTTCACTGACAGTTACTTACCAAAAGTTCATTTCACTGACAGTTTATTTCATCGAAGCTCGTTTTACAGACAAAGTAATTCTGGTCTATATCATTAGGGCCATGTTAGAATTAGAGTTCAAGTTAAAGTGTAATTTATAAAAAAAAAACTTGTCGGTAAAATGAGCTTCGGTGAATAGACTGTCGGTAAAATGTTGTCGGTGAATAATTGTCGGTGAAATGTGGTGTTTTTGAAAAATACTTGTCGCGATTGGGCCACGATTTTTTGCCGATTTTTCTCAGATCTTTTATCATGGGGCTTTAGGGGCTTGGCTTGATTCACGTCCCTTCGAGGCCGGGGGCCGTTCCAGTTCAATGAAATGCGTACGGAGTCGGGTCCTATAATTAAAGAATTTTTTTTGCCACAATTCCACTATCTCGTGACATCACGGGATCGTCGATCTTGCCGCTAACATCAACTTAACTTTATAAGGTAGTGAGTTCGAGCTCACGCTATGGTGCGGCGCATTCAAATCGCTACACATGACAACGAGCAGGGTGTTAGGTGTAATGAATGTGTGGAACAGGGTCTAACACGGGGCCAGATTGTATCGTGTATCGAAGAGAACAAGTGACAAGACAAGCAAAGTAAGAAGGCACAGAGATTCATCATTTACTTTACATGTATCTTATAATCTCTGCCACATGCACCAACATGCATATCCATAATCTCTATCGCAAACAATCATATGCGTTGACAACTTTAAAATCGGCGAGTCTGTTGCTAGAACAAGAGTGGCTTCATATAACCAACGTTTAGGTTAGGTTAGGGCGAAAAGGGCGTGTTAGATTTGACTAGTGATTAGGCAGAGTTTCGGGATAGTTTTAAGGAACATAATAGTCTTAGTGAACTTTAGTGAACTCAGGGTTTAGATCGTATGATGTTTAGCGATAGATTTGTATGTTTTATAGAGACAATTGTATGATTATGAGATTGTAATAATAAAGCGAAAACGGGAGCTGATCTTCCCGAAGGCTTTTATTTATAATTATGAATTCAACTATTTACATTTGCAAAAATTATCTATATTACTAGAATTCTCAATAAACTCCAAATTGGCTTATAGCCAAATACACCAGCATTATTAGAACCCACCATATTATCGAAACTAACCTAATTGCCCAGATTCTCCCATTATTCTGTTCTGAATTTCTGAAATTTCTGCCAGATCGGGCTTTTCTGGCCAGTAAATCCGGATTTGAAATACCCGAGGTCACGGGGCACGTGCCAGCTTCAGTCACTTTTCCGGACTCAGAGTATCTATTATCTTTTATATAAGCCACAAATCTGGTTATCTTCGCAATAATAACCCTAGCGTGTCTATTGTCATCGCATGGATTTATTGCCTATCCTCTGAATCCAAATAACTTAACATTTATAGTTATACAAATCCAAATCAAAAACTAATCAGAGTATATAAGCATAATCTTTATATTTATAGTTTTTAAATTTGTTCAAAATTAGACATTTTTGATTCTTACGAGAACGTAACGAAGATATGGCTTTCACTTTGAAATTGTTTATTTGTTTATTAATATTTTATTTTAATTAAACTTGTTTAGTATCGACATGAGCATTTTTTTTTTTTTTGTAAAGTAATGCTTTTCACGGACTTATTTATTAAAATTCAGTTCATAATTAAATACAGATTTCAAATATAATGCATGTGGATAAAATTGTCGTAGTTAAACTAATTATTGAAGCAATATGCAGTATGTTTTAGCAATAAATTACAACTAAATCTATTAACGACTCCGTACCATCACATTAGCCTCACACAGCCTTGGCATAATTAAAACCACAGTAGTATATACGTATTATACGCGTAATTCTTTTGTTTATTTGATTGAAAAGTTAATAGGTATAATATTATGTATTAGTTTATTGACCTTAATTATATCTTGATTTAAACTAAAGTTATTTTGAGATGGGTCTTTCTTTTTTTTAAAAAAAAAAAAATTATAAAAGCGTGTTTTTGTTTGTAATAATGAATCCAAAAACTAAGAAAATTAGGACTTAAAAAATGTTACCAAAAACTAAATTTTTACAAATTTTGATGTTAGTTATTATTTATATGGCTAATAAATCTGAAGAATCTAATTGGACAAAGCAAATATATCCATGTAATACTTTCATTTATTCTACATTTTTAAAATGTAATTACAGTACAGTATAAAGACTTCCTTATTTTATTTAAATTGATAAATTTTATTAATTTTTTATTAGATCGAAATATTTCTACTGAGTCCATCATAAATATTACTGGTCATGAAACTGAAGAATGTAAAGATTTTGATATACAACTTCCCGTATTTGAAATTTTTGGTAATTTTTGTAAAATTGATACTGGAAATATAGTAGGAAATTTTTCTTTGGAATTTGACTTGTATTTTTTATTCGGAGATGTTTCATTTAGTCTTAAAAATAATAGTTGCTTTTGGTGCAATCTTGATTTGTCTGTTCTTTTTACAGCTACTTACAATGCAACTTTACAACTTTTCTGCTTCTAATCAAATAAGTTAGTATTTTTTTCTTCTTTCAAAATTTTCATTCTTCACTTTCTATGTGTAATAGTTTATTTATATATGAATAGTTAGACAAATTGGGTTCGTTAAATAATTCATAAAAGAAATTTATCAAATTTCACGCGGATAATATGGATATGTATTAATTTTAAATTTATAGGCGCATACCGTACAGCTCTATCCCCTAGAATAAGGTATCAATCCCCTTTAAATAGTATCGGGGTGCTATTCAATTGTAAATTCGACCATTTTGAAAAGTATCCTGATATTAATCATGTGGGCGAATCAACTCATACGTTTAACAGGATTAAGTCTATTGTAGGTGACTCCAATCACTGGTAGTGACGAATAATAAATTACTATAAACTTTCATATAGTAAATACTTATTTGTCACCTCTTGATTGATCACGCCATGTGCAAAATGAAAGGTTATCTGATACGGTTGTTAAATTAATGTAAGTTACATGTAAGTTATTGTAACTTACACTATAACTTACCTGACTTAACGTAAATTACATAATTTACACTGTAAGTTACAGTAACTTACATGTAACTTACCATGTAAAGTAAGTTGTCAGGTAAGTACCCTATTATCGGATTTGAAAATATAACAAACTATTAGATCAATATAATGGGAACGGGCTTGGTAGATTAATTCTTTATCAGATTTGACAGGTTATCGATTTTGAGAGGGTCAACTGTAGGATTATCCAAATGTGTTATATTACCGCACGATTTTTGCCTCGATATTAAAATATAATTATTATTGCTCTTAATGTGCCCTTCCTCGCACACAACAATCGTGACCACCTTTCTTATACGTCCTCTTTTCACGACAATAATAAAACTGTACTTAATGACGTACGTATGGGATAAGGTCGCGGAGCAAGGGAATCACGTAAGCAGAATTTTTCGAGCATAATATGGACTTTCTTTTCTTTTTTTTTCGGGAGTGGTGGGAGATAACTGGACATAATATTGAGTAGAAAATTCGGAAGACAGAGAACAAAATATATCATCAGGTTACTTAATACCATTTCGGCATGGACAAGTCCTGTGACTTACTGTCACCTGGAAAGTCCAGTGACTCGCAATAATGTCCCTCCTTGTGACCCGTCCACAAGCGTGATCCATCATTTGTACAAAATATCACGCCAATTATTACAATATATCGGATAACATCAATAATATTGTTATATGTCACTACGCAGAAGTTGAAGTGACATTTTATCTGATAAAAAATTTCGTTATTTGCCTAACATCTTAACTAATCAAAATTATTTATAATTACCATTCAAAATCAATTATTTAACCATTATTTATATGTATAGATTCGATGCATTATTCTGTTCCGTATTGTATAAAACCTTTACTATTTTATTTAAATTGATAAATAAGTTTTTTGATATTTTAATATATTAGATCGAATTACTTCTTCTATCAACATACCAATAATAATAAATGTTACAAGCAATGAAACAGAAGAATGCAAAATTTTTACTCTTGAATTTAATCTTCCCGTAGAAATTGAAGAATTTACTTTTCCTTCAGCTGTTGAAATTATTGGTGGATTCTGTAATTCTGGACAAATAGTAGGATATATTTCTTTAGAATTAAACTTGTTTATTATGTTTCAATTCTCTGAATGAAAATAGTTGCATATGAAGTTTTGATTAGGATAATTATAATGATTCATTACATCACTGTTTCGATTAAATAAATTTATTGGTTTTTTTTTTTCTTACCAAATTATAATAAAATAATCATTGCTCATATGCTTCATTACACATACAATAAGAATAATTAATTTTTTAATGTATTTACAGTGTTTTATAGTAGGCATAAATTTGTGATAGAAAAATCATACAGAAAAATGCCGCAGATCAAATTGATCTTGTAGAAACAATGAGTAAAGCTAATACGTAAGACCAAATCATTATGTCGTATGAGCTAACTAAGATACTCAGGTCGGTGGTCACTTTTCTGCCATGACTATCCTATTATGTATTTGCTCTAAGATAATAGTAAAAAAAGTAAAGCAAATTATAAATTTGTCCCTAAAAAAAAAAAAAAAAAAGTTGTCAAATTCAAATCTTTTCCTGAGTACAGTCTAACCTCTCTAAGTGCACCCTCTGTAAATGCACACCCTCTCTAAATGCACACCTTGGCTTAGTCCCAACA